TTCAATCCAGAAAGGAGTAAGATATAAGACAAACCCAGTAAACTATTCAATCCAGAAAGGTGTCAGATATAAGACACATCAAGTAAACCATTCATCCAGAAAGGTGCCAGATATAAGACAAACCCAGTAAACTATTCAATCCAGAAAAGTGCCAGATATAAAAACAAGCCCGGTAGCTATTCAATCCAGAAAGGTGCCAGATATAAGACAAACCCAGTAAACTATTCAATCCAGAAAGGTGCCAGAAGTAAGACACACTAAGTAAACCATTCATCCAGAAGGGTGCCAGATATAAAGACAAGCCCAGTAACTATTCAATCCAGAAAGGTGTCAGATATAAGACAAACCAAGTAAACTATTCAATCCAGAAAGATGCCAGATATAAGACAAACCCAGTAAACTATTCAATCCAGAAAGGTGTCAGATATAAGACACATCAAGTAAACCATTCATCCAGAAAGGTACTGTATTATATTCAAAATATTTTTCCTTACCTTCCATTAGGACAGAAATGGCATCTCTCAGAATATTCAATGTTGTGAATAAAACAATAAACGAAAATATAAAAGTGCAAATAGGATCGGCTATGGCATACTCCGGCTGTAGAAGAGAACACATTGTATGTATAAAAAGTGAAATGTCGGAGAAGCATGTCTATTTGAAGAAATGCAGTATTGCCTGATTAGCATCACATCCACTCAGCTAAACAACATTTCCAGACAATGTTATATATCTATATATAAATATAAATATACATTTGATGGACGTCCCTAGCACATCCTTTTGATCCTACATAGATTATTACAGTTAACAAAAACCCTCATGAATCACTTGTAATATAAAAATTGTTCCACATACATATCAAAATATTTCTTGCATTGGGTTCAATGGTAAAAAACTATATTGTTATGCTCTGAGTCTCCCAAACTAAATTATATTCATATTACACACATTCTACAATTTTCAGCTACACATGTGAATGTGAATTTTAAAGTATGCACTAACCTTGAAATAAATGATGAAAGCTGCAATTAATACACCTAGACTTTGAAGTAAATCTCCCAATACGTGTATGAATGCTGCACGGACATTTACGTTTTGATGTTCATTGTCTCTTGTCTTGGTACCATTCGATAGTTGATCATTAGTTCCTGGAACATCTAATTCAAGGGCATGATCTCCATAAAAGTGCCCATGATCTCCATGAGAGTGATCATGATCTCCATGGGAGTGATCATGTTTTTTATGATTATGTCCACTTGGTGCCCCTCCATGTGAATGTCCATGAGATGAGAAACTTCCATGTGTGTGTCCATGGCCACAATCATGAAGCGTAAGTCCAATCCTATGACATAATTCAGCAAGTTGTTATTAGTAGCTTGTCATAAACCTCGAAAAATTAGATCTGGCTTCAGTAATCTACTATGGCTTATATTAAATTTATAAACTGTAACCTGAAAAAAGAATCAGCTGGGAACAATTAAATACAGGATAGATAGATAGATGATCAACAGAATTACATACAAAGATCTGGACAGGATATAAGGATTAGAAAGGACAGACAATCTGGACAGGATACGTGGTTTGGAAAAGATAGACAATCTGGACAGGATACATGGTTTGGAAAGGATAGACAATCTGGACAGGATACATGGTTTAGAAATAATAGACAATCTGGACAGGATACATGGTTTGGAAGGGATAAACAATCTGGACAGGATATGTGGTTTGGAAAGGATAGACAATCTGGACAGGATATATGGTTTGGAAGGGATAGACAATCTGGACAGGATACATGGTTTGGAAAGGATAGACAATCTGGACAGGATATATGGAAGGGATAGACAATCTGGACATCATACAAGGTTTGGAAAGGATAGACAATCTGGACAGGATACGTGGTTTGGAAAAGATAGACAATCTGGACAGGATACATGGTTTGGAAAGGATAGACAATCTGG